TGTATATATATATATATATATATATATATATATATACATGTGTGTGTGTGTGTGTACATAAGGCTCACTTTTGATTTTAGAGAAATTAAGTGCATCATATAGTCTAATACATACGGTATTTTCATGTCAAAAGTGCTCATTTGCAGATTTAATCTTAAACATGGAGGTGGGTATCCAGGTGGGTTTGAAACCAAGAGCTTTGCAAGTCGTGCACATGAAAACAGACGGTGATGTTTTAGGGCTGATGCACAAAACGTGGACTCTGAGCTTCTTGTCATTTTGCTAAAAAACACAATTCAGCAGGAGTGGCATTTGTTCTCGTCTCAGCTGTTGCAGCCCAGTTTGATACCACCTTACAGAAGAAGAAGAAGAAGAAGCTCAAAGACAAAGTCCTTTTGTTTTCTCCAGCAAGCGTGCAGGGATTTTTCATTGTGATGTAGTTTCTGAGTGAAAGGCAGCACTTTTCCACCCGCACATAAACGTTCTTAGCAGACACGGCTGATTTTTGGCAGATGGTGTTTGTGAGTGACGCCAGTTCTCCGTAGAAGCGGCTGCAGGGAAACGATCACAGTTGAGTCTCTGTAGAACAAAGCAGCTTGGTTACCTGTCGGCATGAGGCCTACACCTGCTGAAGGGCGGAGCTTACACCCCAGTCCCTGGACTCCACCTGTGAGAGTGCTGTTAATCAGTGTCACCACTCGCTCAGGCACTGTTACATCCAGTAAATAACTCCCCAACTAAAGCGGAGGCTCCTCACTTGGACTCAGCGTTGCTCCTTCTTGTTGGTAAAGTAGCAGACGGTGTTTTTGGTGCCACGTGTTTTACAACGTTTAGCAGAAGCTGAAAGCTGCTATTCTACTACAGAATAAAGGACGCGGCCCATTTTTTACAGTTTCACAAAGAGCTGAAGAAAATCCCAGCATGTTGGTTCTGTTTGGTTCCTCTTGATTTTATAAAATGAGCAAATTAAAGAGAAAAGCTTTGTAAAAGTTAATTACAAGCTTTAAATATTATTTCAGATTAAATGTAGGCTATGCTAACAGCTGCTAAATGAATGCATATAAAAATAAAAGGTCGCCTTTAAGCCAGAATTTTAAACCAAATTCATCTTATGATGAAAAATGACAGAGTTGTAGCTTTAAAGCATTTTATTTGAGACTCTCAGCTACTACCACAATCAATTTCAGTTTGAAATCTATAAAAGTCTGAAAAGATCAGTTAGCGGGGGCAACCTTCTTGAACTGGGGTGGCCCTGAAAGTTCATCTGTTGTAGATGGCCTACCAGTTATTGCTTTATGATAATTTTATTCAATCTGTTCAGTGGTTCACAACATATTTTGCTAACAGACACACAAGCAAGCCAAACTGTTGTCACCTTCTTGAGCCTGTGGAGCAGGGCTATTGAACAAACTGCTCAGGGGCCACAGCTACTGAAAGTCAAGAGCTCAGGGGCCACACATCCAACACTTACTGTCATTAAGGAAGTTGGTTTTAATGTTTAACATCTAGTTTTATTTTAAAATGAACCCATGGGAACGAACTGAGCTCACCTGTGGGCCTGATCTGGCCCCCGGGCCACCACTTGAAGAGCCCTGAACTAGAGAGAAACACTAAATAAATGTTGTTTTTGCAACTTATTTACTTTGACGTTTGAACAAATTGAATTAGAAGTTTAGTCCAAGCAGAAAGACATGTTGGTTTCTGCTATTATAACTGCATTCTTTACAATAATGACACTCCTGCACTGCCGGGCTGCACCGGGACAGGTAACGATCACCTGCTGTGAAGAAGTTAATTAGATGGACTTTTCCACACGGTCACATTAAAACCAAAGCTCTTGTCTCGTTTGAACTCTCAAGATCCATATTTGAAGTTGGTTCCTATTAAATATTGTTAATAAAATACCTTCACTCCCATTTGGTCAACTTGTGATTTCCATACAAAGTCGATTCCAATTCCAGGCACTAATTGTTCCTCCACTTTCCCATTAGGCACCTCCTTTATGTTAATGATGTGTTCACATTATGGTTGAGTGATAAATATAATCTAAGCAGGGATGAATTTACACTTTGCTACAAATGACAGACACGTTCTTACTCAGCCCAGTCCACTCTGGCTCTGAGAGTGTTTACTCCACACTGTGGTGCATTCCAGCCACACCAGCAGGGACTGGAGGACAACAGTGTCCACAGCCACAGAGATCAGTAACAGGTCTGCTGCTGAAATATGTGCAAAGTGTCAATAGTCTGGAGCCACTCTGTCCAACTGGAAGCCACGGAGCTGCTAAAATAGAAGTGGTGATTAGGACGCAGTCACCCCAGTCAGTGCCAATTCAGGCGTCGTAGCAACCCTGGGCACGACGGTTTGATCTGCCGCGCTGTCATTGATTCACAAGGCTTCCAGCTGGAGCAAAGATCCCCACTGAAGCGTGATATAGAAACCTTTCCATCTTGGCACATCTTGACTGGCTCAATCCCCTGCAGGCCATTACGGATAGAATATGTTGTTTTCTTTTTTCCACTCCAGGAAGAGAAATACAGTCTGTCTTCATGCTATAACAGCCATTACTTAATTGTGCCGGCTTTTCTGAGCAGAGTGTTGCTTTAATTAAGCAGCTAATTGCAATGTAGCTCTTGATTAGCTTTGGGGGATGGGACTGTTCAGACAGCCTGATATGTTGTGCACACTTCAGAATCATTTACAGAAATTGAAGCTAATTTCGCTCTCCGTCTATTGCTGCATTAATTTAATTTGGGTTGCTTTTAGCTCATTAACACTTCTAATTAATACGTTGACATCACTATTAAGATGTCTCTTTGAAACTGGTGTCTCCTGATAATCAGGATGGAGGAGGCTGACTGATGAAGTGAGAAGCTGACTGTGGAGACGGTTAAAAAAAGGAAAAGAAAAAGTCAGACAGAAGGAGGGGACGACACCACCCTCATTTATACCCCCCCCCCCCCCCCCAATACCTTATGATAGTGGACACTAACAGGAGACTGTGGCAGGTGAAGTGACCTAATTGGAAATGAAAGGAATGCTGATTGTTTTAAAATTCGACTCGAGTTATTCTGTGTGTGTGTGTGTGTGTGTGTGTGCACGTGTACGTGAGTGCGGGGCGCTCTTGGGAGTTGGGGGCGGAGGAGCATCAGGGCCAGATGCCATACACAGCTGAAGATCACGCCTGAGTAACTGTGTGTTTGGGATTGTCATTTTAATGAGCTGAATTTAGTGACTACGGGCTGGTGACGCCGGGCGAGAAGCCCCGTTGCATTACCATCACTTCAACCAACCTCCTCTGTGAGGTGCACGTGCAGCTTTCTCCCTGTGTGATCCAAGAAATAAAAAGTACATTTCAGCAAATGCATTTTTAAAAACTGGATTCTTTCATATAAACGCATAAATTCAGGTCTCTGTTGTAA